GTGTAACCTTTTTTGCCCCTTCCACTTTGAATTTCAGAAAAAGCATGAATTTGTTTTTAGGTATTTATATAAAGAATATTTTAGTACAAAAACGAAGTCGATATCTTAATTAGAAGCCGAGAAATCTGAAAAAATGTGAATTTTTAAAAAAAATTGTTTTTAACCCTTTAAAATTAAAATTTTTCAAAATCCTTTCTTAGCACACCTACAAATACGTAACAGAACATATCCTGAAAATTTCATGTCTCTAACTTAAATAGTTCTGGCTGGGCGTTGATAATCAGTCAGGACAAGCTCTTTTATATATATATAGATAAAACGTGCTGTTTTGTTCGAAACACTACCACTGGACTCACCTAACTTGACTGGTCGCGGGAAGCGGCTGCGGGCGGGAAAAAAATGTAAATTGTTAGAATGAAACGTCAAATATTTACATGCGTCTGAATCGTCGGTGGAAAACGTCCGAGCAAATCGAGGAGCATCTAAAAGCTCCCGGATGTCAAAAAAGAACGCACCTCTGAGTGCTCGAAAATAATAAACGAACGAGTTGGAGTACCTCCGAGGCATCCGACGTATTATTCGAACTCGTCTAATGTATGCAAAAGCGGTGACAACCTTGAACTAACATAAACATATCGATTTTATATTCAGATTGCCTTATTTGCATAATTAGAGCGGTGACAACCTTGAACTAACATCTCGATTTTATAGTCAGATAAAATAAAATACTCAAATCGAGGTTCTCGAGGCTAGGAGGTATGACTTCTATATTTTTTGAGAGCTTGTAGTAATTCGTATCAAGATCAAGAAACTTCTGGTAATAATTTCAATTGTGGTATAAGTCCGAAAAAATGCAAGGTAATATTAGAAATCTACCTCAAACATACACACATTTGTTGTCAAGTAGAGGAAATCGCCAATAATATTCAATGCATTTTTTCAAATAGGAAAACAATTCTATCTTTCATTTTTGCTTTAAATCGTGAGAATATTCTGAAGTGTTAATTAATTTATATTGTTTGTTTATAAAGTAGATAATCACTATCTTCAGAAGTACCGTGACCCACTAAGTACTTACCTAATATGTGATTTTTTTTTCTTTAGTAAGCATGCGTGATATTTTCGCAATAAAATGCTCAATATAAATAATTGTGATAGTCATTATTTGAAACAACTGTATCTTAGCAAGTCATTGAAACAATGAAGTCTCCAATGAACCAACAAATTTTACAATGACTTCAAATTCGAATAAACCGTTAACGTTTCCTTTAATTTCAATATCAATGTGAATTCTGCTTGTAATAGTAATAAATAAATAGAATACTACTTTAAATATGAACGTGTGTTATAATCCATAAATCACTAATAAATAGAATACTACTTTAAATATGAACGTGAGTTATCATCCATAACTCACTAGTGAGTTATGGATTATAACACACTAGTGTGTTATTTGATAGTTTACTTGTCTAAAATGACATTAATAATAATAGTCATAACTGTCATGTGTTGGATAAATATTAATTTATGGTACTAGTGTGTTATGTTGAAAATAAGTCACGCGAGAAAGATTTATACCACGAGGCCGTCAGGCTGAGTGGTATAAATTCTCAAGTGACTTGGGAAACATAACATACGAGTGGCATACAATGTCTTATCCAACTAGTAGAAGAAAATCATTTTTTTATAAGATAATACAACAAAAATACAAGGTGCTATGCGTCGGTGTCTTCCAGCACTATCAGTAGCTGTACCGATATGGGAGCGTCTGGTTCCAATGAACCAACGAATTTTACAATAACTTCAAATTCGAATAAACCGTTAACGTTTTCCTTTAATTTCAATATCAATGTGAATTCTGCTTGTAATAATAATAAATAAATACAATACTACTTTAAATATGAAAGTGAGTTATAATCCATAACTCACTAGTGAGTTATGGATTATAACACACCAGTGTGTTATTTGATAGTTTACTTGTCTAAAATGACATTAATAATAACAGCCATAGCTGTCATGTGTTGGATAAATAACTATCATTGGTACAGGGCAAACTTCCATGGCATTTAGAATTGTAAACATCTTTTGGTGGAACATTTTCGAATGCAACTGCTGCATTTTTCAAATCCTTGGCCACTACATAACGACAATTTTCGCACTCCACTTCTTACGCTAATTTCCTGAGATGGAACATCTCCAGGACTCAAGATTTTTTCTTAACGATTATCGTTTCACGATATCAATTTCTGTAACGTATCAGTGGTATTCGTACTTTTAGTGCGGTGTGGTCAATCCTAAGATTTACTGTGTGTGTCCGGTGAAAGTCCGAAATGAAAGCAGAATAACTGGTTTTCGGGCTTTTCCCACTTGCTTTTGGTAAATCCTAGGTTTAGCGCGCTTATCCTAGGTTTTACCGAAATTCGGGTATACATGTATAAGTAATTACGTATCTATGAGTCAGCACTTAATAGACGAGTTCGAATATTACCTCGCGGATGAGATGTAGATGAGATGGATATTCGATCACGTGGGCGCAGATGTGCTCGATTTCCTCCGTTTTATTCGAACGCTCTTTTTAAGCTGATGTTTATTTTGGTCATATGTTTCGGTAATCCTAACCCATTTTTCTAAAAACATATTTTATGTCCGATTGACCAATAAAGTGCTATTTATAAAACAGTTTTGAGTCAATAAAGTAGCACTTTATTGTACTAGTAAAATAAAGTGCTACTTTATTGCCTACCTGGACTGCCTAACAAGGTGGAACAGGTCCTGACAACCTGCCAAGGTTAAACAGGTCCTGACAACCTGCCAAGGTGAAACAGGTATACTTATGCGAATTTTACTTTTTTCATTAAATTTTTTCAATTTTCAACAAAAACCAGTTGTAATCGTACATAAAATCATGTATATAACGCTTACATAAACAGGCTTTATTGACTCATTATTTAATAGCCTCGCTCGCAAGCTCGCTCGGCCATAAAATTATTCGTACAATAAAGCCTTACTTTATGTACTTGTTATATAAATAGCTATAATTTGTATTTTATTTTATACCCATATTGTCAATTTTTCATATTCATTTCCGTATTTCCCTTAATTATTTTGAGAATGGATTAAATTTATAATAGACTAGCATTACCCTTCACGGCTTCGCCCGCGATTTTTCAACTTATTAGGCTATGTAGGTATTATCTATGGTATGTGTTCATTAAAAAAGTTGTGTTTGACATTGCTTTTGCAGTAGGTATGCTTTGTTTTCGATGACGACAGACCATCGATTACTTCTGGGGATGCCTCTTGATATTACCCTACTCAGTTCAGATAATGACACCCTCCCGTCATAATCTGCGTGTTCGTATAATCGTCTTCAATGGCCTGGTTGATTATATTATTATTATTTACAATTTATATTAAATGCTGATGCCGTGCAGTTGGTGAGGTGACTGATTGACATGGTTTCGGGCACTCTGCTGACGCTGAGCTACTTACTGAACGGATTGTGCTTATTGTGATTATGCAATGTTATGTATGTACGCTTGTTGGTTGTTGTGCCAATATCTTTGGTTGTGCCATGAAAGGATTTATGTATTCAAGTCGCTAGTTGGTTCTGCTATGAAAGGATTTTGGAAAAATTTAATTTTAAACAGCGAAGTTGTTCCGTGTAGTGTAGACATGTTTCACATATTCGGCGAGCTAAAATCCGATTGAAGCCAAATTTCGTAAACTGAAAAATTAGTTTTTAGATATTCATTTCAGAAGTATTTCAGAAAAAGAATGGCGTCGATATCTTATTTTATTATCAAGTTATGACAGCTTAAATGAATTTGTAACGAAATTTTTTGTGTAACCTTTTTTGCCCCTTCCACTTTGAATTTCAGAAAAAGCATGAATTTGTTTTTAGGTATTTATATAAAGAATATTTTAGTACAAAAACGAAGTCGATATCTTAATTAGAAGCCGAGAAATCTGAAAAAATGTGAATTTTTAAAAAAAATTGTTTTTAACCCTTTAAAATTAAAATTTTTCAAAATCCTTTCTTAGCACACCTACAAATACGTAACAGAACATATCCTGAAAATTTCATGTCTCTAACTTAAATAGTTCTGGCTGGGCGTTGATAATCAGTCAGGACAAGCTCTTTTATATATATATAGATAAAACGTGCTGTTTTGTTCGAAACACTACCACTGGACTCACCTAACTTGACTGGTCGCGGGAAGCGGCTGCGGGCGGGAAAAAAATGTAAATTGTTAGAATGAAACGTCAAATATTTACATGCGTCTGAATCGTCGGTGGAAAACGTCCGAGCAAATCGAGGAGCATCTAAAAGCTCCCGGATGTCAAAAAAGAACGCACCTCTGAGTGCTCGAAAATAATAAACGAACGAGTTGGAGTACCTCCGAGGCATCCGACGTATTATTCGAACTCGTCTAATGTATGCAAAAGCGGTGACAACCTTGAACTAACATAAACATATCGATTTTATATTCAGATTGCCTTATTTGCATAATTAGAGCGGTGACAACCTTGAACTAACATCTCGATTTTATAGTCAGATAAAATAAAATACTCAAATCGAGGTTCTCGAGGCTAGGAGGTATGACTTCTATATTTTTTGAGAGCTTGTAGTAATTCGTATCAAGATCAAGAAACTTCTGGTAATAATTTCAATTGTGGTATAAGTCCGAAAAAATGCAAGGTAATATTAGAAATCTACCTCAAACATACACACATTTGTTGTCAAGTAGAGGAAATCGCCAATAATATTCAATGCATTTTTTCAAATAGGAAAACAATTCTATCTTTCATTTTTGCTTTAAATCGTGAGAATATTCTGAAGTGTTAATTAATTTATATTGTTTGTTTATAAAGTAGATAATCACTATCTTCAGAAGTACCGTGACCCACTAAGTACTTACCTAATATGTGATTTTTTTTTCTTTAGTAAGCATGCGTGATATTTTCGCAATAAAATGCTCAATATAAATAATTGTGATAGTCATTATTTGAAACAACTGTATCTTAGCAAGTCATTGAAACAATGAAGTCTCCCGAAAAGCTGAGTGTCTTCATTTTTATTTTACTTAACATGAACAATAAAGTCTCTAGCAAAAATACAGATGAAGGTGACAAACAATGGTACAAAACGTCAACACTATATCAAGTTTATCCAAGATCCCTGAAGGACTCGAACGGTGATGGTATAGGTGACCTTAGAGGAGTCATTCAGAAACTAAATCTTTTTGTTGATGCTGGTATTACCGCTTTTTGGCTTTCCCCAATTTTTAAAGTAAGTTATTTTTTATGTACGAGGGTCGCATTTTCGCCCTAAATTGCGGGCTTTTCGACCCGCAGGGCTGCAAATTTCCACCATGGGGCAGGTTGGTGTAGGTTGAACAAATTCTGGTACAAACTGGTTATTTTTACCCTTCAAAAATGAACCGATTTATCATTCAATTGATTGTTCGGTTGGTAACTGCAGTTTTTTCTGGTAACACGAATAACCACCAGTTTATTCATTACTTGACTTTGAAGGGGGTGCGTTATTCATTTATTTATTTATAATATTTGATTTTGAACATAGTAGTCTAAGAGCCAGTGAATTTTTTTTCGTAAAAAGTTGCCGATGGAAAATTTCATGCCTAAACGATGTAATATTATCCCCCAAGATCGAAAACCATAGTCTGGCAGCATGTAGTGGGGAAGTTTGGCGTAGGCATAATTAATAAGTCATTAAAAAATTCATGAAAATCGAACTATTTGCCGATGGTCAATTTTTGCGGCATATCATTCGAAAATGTTCCCTTAACTGTAATAATGCCAGACGATTTTCGCGGGTTTAAAGCCTTGCCAGATGCCCCCAGATTGCAAAAAATATATAAAATTTTCGAAATACTTGCCGAAACCTTTTTTTTTAAATTATGAGAAAAAAATTGTGAATCGAATGGAAATATTGTTACGACGAGGCTGTAGACGAAGTCGTGGTAACCACATGAGTACTATAATGAGCGTTACCGTACGTGTGATATAGGTACATTTTATCTACAACTCAGATTTTTGTTTTATGTATTCTATGGTTTTGATTTTTCACAACAGATTATTCGGTGAGCTTAAAGCTCAAGGCTGAAAGAAAATATTTTCTCAACAAGGACTTCAAGCAACACTATCAGCAGCATCAGGTATTAGTTCTACTTTTAATAATCATAAATAAAAAATGAGTTACGTAATGAGCCTATTAAATGAGTAGTTATATAAGGAGCTCATTACATCACTAGTACGATAATACAACTTATAACGTAACTCAAATAGGCTAAAATGGGTTACATTATCGTAATAAGCTCTCATAGTATGGATGGGTGGGTCGTATTTAAAATGAAAAAAATCATTATTACACAAAATCATACATAAAACCTAGCTTATTCTTTTTTTGACATTTCAATACAATTATAAATCGATAATTTATATTTTATTTTGTCAATTCATTATTCACTATTTAATTATTTTATTTCATTAATAAATTAAAAGAAAAAAAAAGAAATATAATTATATTAACTTATAACTATATAACAATGAATTATAAAGTACCTACACGTAGGTACCTGGAATGGTCGCGCCGATTTATAAAATTGAGATGGTCCAAAAAATTTTTTATTCGGGGTTGGGAATATACCAAACCTCACAGCAATGAACTAGAAAGAGAAAAGTAGCCATCAGTATATAGCTATCTTGGACACACTAAGAGAGAGACAAATGCCATGTCCGACAACGGTGGGATCCATTCCTGTTACGTGTAGTATACCGGGCGTCCCACCGAAAGCTGGCAATAGCCTATATCTTGAAAACGCTCATCGATAAAGAAAAAAACCCGTTTGAAGGGGGAACCAAAGCAAGGTACTTTTCAGGTCTCCCCGAACCACCACTCTGGCGGTAGCCACCCTAACCTCAAAATCTAAAATGGCACTATAGGTCATGTGATACCTTGTTTGAGTGGTTTTTTAATTCTCTAAACGAATCTGCATAAAAAAAATATCTAGATACAAATTCAAATTGTCAGAAAATAGCCCATACTTCGAGTTAACATCTTTGCCCCCTTGAGAAGGTGAACACTGTCAGATACAGTGAGAGGAAAGGGATTCGAAAAAATAAAACCTTGAAGATTTTTTCAAAATTCTCCATGTTATTAATTTTGTATAAAATCGATCTTAAATCACATTTATCTGTTCCACCAGATCAAACGAGGTTTTCATCAAAATTAGACTCACATTTAAATCTGGATAATTTTTTTTTACAGGTCCATTTAGAAAATTGAATCATCACATGACCTATAGTACCATTTAGGATTTTGAGGTAAGGGTGGCTACAGCCGGAGGTAAAGTTCGCGGAGAGCTGAAAAGTACCTTGTTTTGGTTCCCCCTTCCAACCCTCCAAACAGGTTCTTTTTTTTTTAACGATTACCGTTTTCAAAATATAGGCCATTGACAGTTTCCGGTGGGACACCCGGTAGGTATAGTTGATTCATTGATGTATTATTATACAAACGCTTTTGTTCCACTCATTCCTTGTCTTTCCATCTCATTTGCTCTCGTACGGGATCACCGACATGTGGCCGCGGCATATGATCCGCTCCCAGACGCGGGGAGGGGATAATATGTGCGTTCACGGACGCGTAAAATAACGAACTTCGGCGTCGTCTGGCAAGGATTAATCCTCGATAAAACCGTCTCGCACTAGGTTTGTTCGATTAGCAACTTTTTTCTCTTCAATGTAAAAAAAAAACGGGTTTCGAATTTTTTATTATTTTTTTGCATTTTGGGAGCGTCTGGCAAGGCTTTAAACCCGTGAAACCCGTCTGGCATTATTACAGCCTTGTTAATGGCACATTTTCAAATGATATGCCGCAAAAATTGACCATCGGCAAGTATTTCGAATTTGGTGAATTTTTTAATGACTAATTAATTATGCCTACGACAAACTTCCCCACTACATGCTGCCAGACTACGGTTTTTGATCACGGGGGATAAAACTACATCGTTTAAGCAAGAAATTGTCCATCGGCAACTTTTTACGCTAAAAGTTCACTGACAAGGTAAAAAAAGATAGGTCAATTAAATTTGCTTCAAAATTAAAAATTAAAAAATTCTGCTGATAATTGTTCGAGTTTCAAAATGTGAAAAACAGAGGCAAATAACGAGAAAAAAGGCACCCAAATATGAAGGCAGAATGATTGCACTTTCCATTAGGCCGGCATAAAACCGTTTGTCCATATTTTAGGAGCATAAAAATTTATTATGCCTTCATGCTCGGAGCTAGTTTTGTATGCTAATCTGCCTCTTTTTGGACATTTTGTTGCATAATTAGAAACTTTCTGTCGGAAAACTACATAAACTGTTATATGAGAAAAGATCGAGATGACGGATACGGAGGCGTCGCAATATGCATAAAGAATAACCTCATATACACTGAAGTTAAGACACCTAACACAACACAGAACAACGCCCTGGAATACTTAATAATTAAAATAAAGAACATAAACATTATAACAAGTTATGCACCATCCCAGATTCCAAATCTAAATAAGCAACTACAAGACATTATAGATAGCTTGACAGACGAAATAATACTTATGGGGGACCTCAACGGTCATCATACAGACTGGGGCAGCAATCACATAAATCCAAATGGAAGACAAATTGCAGAAATAATGGACAATAACGACATGGTGATACTGAACGATGGTTCAACCACCAGAATAAATACACCAAGAGATAATAAAAGTCCAATCGACATAAACCACTGCACAGATAGCAACAAAATGCAACTGGCGAGTTACACAGGACCCAGGATACAGTGATCACTTACCAACTATCGTCAAAATAAAACAAATAACACAAATAAACAATAACGAATACATAGCAAAATATCACTCAAAAAGGTCGTTTGCAGGTGCCAACTGGCCCAATTACCACCAAGACATATACACAGCAATAAGAAGAGAAGAAGTACAACAAAAGATCCTAAACTTTGGAACTCTAGAAGAATTTATCCAGGAATCTGCAAATAACAACATACCAAAAACGAAAGAAACACAAAAAAATAAAACCGGAAACCCGTGGTGGGACATGGACTGTTCCAAGAAAATAACAGAAAGAAAAGATGCACTAAACAAATACACATACGACCCCACACTTGAAAACTACCTAAATCTGAAACACACCATAGCAAAAACAAGAAGATATTTCAAAAAGAAAAAGAGAGAAAAATTTATAGCATATACTGCAAAAATCGACAGAACAACAGACAGCATAAAAATCTGGGAAAAACTAAAAAAATTCTCAGGAAATTACACCAGGAAAGAATTCAAGATAACACCTGACCACATAAGACAGCAAATACTAGACAGAATGTCAATAATAGATATAAACCCTGAATTCAGGATATCAAATGAAAATATGGGAAATATACAAAAATTCAAATCTAATGAACTAAACCTAGCCATAAAAGGGAAAAGAGATACAGCCACGGGAATAGATGAAGTCTCATATTCAATCATCAGCAACCTCCCATTCAACGCAAAGCAGATACTAATAAATAAATACAACCGGATCATGGAAGGCGATAATCTCCCAACAACATGGAACCAGTATTTGATTATACCCATAAACAAACCAAACAAGGACCCAGAAACAAGCGAGAGCTATAGACCAATAGCTCTAGCATCATGCTATCTTAAGACTCTAGAAACAATGATAAAGAACAGAATGGAGTGGCATATAGAAAATAAAAAACTGCTAACGCACTCACAAACAGGCTTCAGAAAAAAAAAATAGTGTACACAACAATCTAAGCCATCTAGTTACTTACATTAACTTGGCATTCACCAGAAACGAGGCAGTGGTGGCCGTTTTCCTGGATCTGAAATCTGCTTTTGATGCTGTAGACATACATATACTCTACCAAAAACTAATAGACATAGAAATTCCCACAGAACTATGCAATATTATATACTAAATATAAAAAAATAGAAAACTATTCACCAGAAACACACAAGGCAAACTAATAGGACCATCAATAGCAACCAGAGGACTTCCACAAGGATCCCCATTGAGCACAATACTATTTAACATTTATATCAGAGACATATTCAAAAACATAGAAAAAGACATAATCATGAGCGCATATGCAGATGACATAGTAATCTTCACCAAGGGAAAACACATACCGCAGATAATAGGCAAAATAAATACATCACTGAACACAACAGCAAGCTGGTTGAGCACAAACAAACTAACCCTAGCTACCAATAAATGCCAAGCCATGATCTTCACAAAGGGAAAAAGGAAAACAGTATACCCTCCCATAAAAATACAGAATTAAAATATACCACTAACAGAAACAGTCAGATATCTTGGATTCATATTGGATAGCAACCTCAACTTTAATAAACACATAGAACACATAACCAGAAAAGCCAAAAATGGTCTAAACCTAATCAAAATATTTGGAAGGGTTAGATGGGGTGCCGACCCAATGGCCCTAATAAAGATACACTCCGCTTTAATTATGTCACATCTTGAATACGGAGCATTCCTACTGAACTTGACAGAAAAAAATTTAAAAAAAACTACAAAGTATACAATACCCATCTCTCAGAATAGTCCTAGGATGCACAAAAACAACTCCAACCAACGTATTATTGGCAGAGGCCAAACAAATGCAACTGGAACATAGACAAAAATTATTGGGAATCAAATTCCTATCCAAGATCATCAATATCAATAACCACCCCATTGTAGCAATCCTTAAAGCAATAAAGTTACAATATATGCATCATGACAATTATTGGAGGAGAAAAGACATCCCATTCCTTGTACAGGCCTTAGACTATCTACGTCAATACAAAGACAAAACAGACACACTAGATAGATTACCATGCTATATAATTAAATTCGAAACACAAATTAGTGAACTACCCACAATAGATTTAGGGCTAAGGAAAAATGATCTATATGCAAGAATCTCATACATCGCAAACACAGAAAAATACGAAAAGGATTACACTTTTATTTACACGGATGGATCAAGACAAAACAAAAAAACAGGATATGGAATACACTGTCCCAGTCAAAACCACAACTTCAGCTGCAGACTCCCGAATGAAATTGACATATGCACAGCAGAGACAATGGCAATTAAAGAAGCAGCATTATACATAATCAGAAAAAATATAAAAAATGCAATAATCTTCTCAGACTCAAAGAGTGCAATTGACAGACTCAACCAAACATACATCAACCCGGAAATCGACTACATCACCCTAAGAACCAAAACATTAATAAAAGCAGCAAACGAAACTGAAAAGGACATCAGAATTGCATGGATTCCTGGACACGCAAATATACCTGGGAATGAAACAGCAGACAAACTTGCCAACATAGGAAGAGGACTATACGTCCCAAAAAGAATACCAATAAACAATGGACAAATATACAATATAATAAAGGAAAAAATATGGATAGAACACAACGAAGCATGGAAAGCATCCCTCAAACAAAAAGGCAGATGGTATGCCCAAATACAAGAAAAGTTTCCTACAATGCCATGGTACAAAAAATTCCCATATGTGCACAGAAATCACACAACAACAATAACAAGAATGAGAACTGGACACTGCCTAACCAAAGAATACCTCCACAAAATAGGCATCAAAGAATCACCAAACTGTGAGTGCGGCCAGGTTGAGGACCTAAACCACATATTCCTGGAATGCCCAATAAATGCTATAGCAAATAACCTCTACTGCATCTTAAGTAGGGAAGAGGATCATGCAACACCGCTATCAATGACCACTGTACTAGGAAAATTGAATAACAATACAATTAATATATTGAATAATTTTCTGAAACACAATAAGATAGAGCTTTAGCTTTACAACCCCAAACTATCAGAATTCATAACACTAAAAAAAAAAAAAAATTATCCTTCACAGATTCCAAAGCATAAACAATCCTCTGTTGTGTATGTCCCAAACTAACAGTCCATCACCTGAAGATAATTATTGAAAATCAACGAAGAAAGAAAAGAACAGAAGAGAGAAGATAAGAAATACACATAGGTAGTGAAGAAGATGAAAGTGCAACGACGATGGTCAAGAGCCAGATAAAGTTGCTGCACAAGAACAAATGAGCTGGCAAATTGCCCTTGAAAGGAGCAGAAGCCAATAACCATACAAAAAAAAAAACTGTTATTTCGTTTATTAAAAAGCAGGTATTTTGCTGAAAATTTGAAACCATCACTAACGCCTACAAATACATCTTATTATTGTGTCGTGCCTACCAGCTTCTAATTCGATGATAATTAACCTATATCGAATTTTCGCGACGAATGTAGTTCATCAATAGTTCAACCAAGGAGGAACCATAGTTTATCTTGTGACGTCATGAGTTTGAACGCTGGCTAGAAGCTGCGTCCATGCTTCCGGCCAACTATGTTCAATATGACGTCATGAGTTTCTCGCGAAAGTGTTTGTGTTCATGAAATCATGGAAGTAGTTCATTGCGAAAATTCGGTTCTACTTTCAGCTATCTTACAATAAAAATAATCAACCTCTAGATATCTTACTAAGTTTTTCTTATATTTGTCAGTGCCCAATATTGACAAATAAAACACCACTTGTACCCATGGTTTTCATGGAAATAGAATAAGCCTTATATAAAAAAAGAAAAAATAAGAACAACAAATGTCAGCTATTGAAAAATCACGAGTACCTAGAATCGAAATTAGCCGAAAAAAGAGAAATTAGAATGCTGGTAAGACCTATAATAAAATGCTGAGAGCACTATTGGTAATATGAGATAAGTGCCCTTGGTCGATGTAGAGTGGTTTTTTTGTTTTGATAATAGTTACCCAGGTGTAGCATGTAACACCTGATTATAGTATTTTATATTATTAGCCAGGTAAAACAGTTTTTACTGGCGATTGGAGGAAATGACCTTCAAGAGCCAGTAAAAACTGCTACCTGGACATGGACATGGACATGTACAATAATTTATTTGTTACTCTTCCGGAAGGTACATACAAGCAAATATTCTTATGATAAAACTGATTTTTTAAAAATAAATAATCCTACTGACTTGTAATAGTATATTATATAATAAGTGTGGTAACTAGGTTATTACCGCACACGAGAGAAATTTGCAAACCGAGCCGGTGAGGCGAGGTTTGCAATCTCTAAGGGCGGTAATAACCTAATTACCCTACGTATTATATACAGTATTTAATCTAAAAGCGTGCGGTACCAAAATATCCGAAAGAAATTTGAAAAATTATTTAAAAAAAATTGCGTCTGTCATCTTTGACGGCAGACAAGTACAATTTAGGTGATGGGCAGGTAATTTATCTCTCTGGTAGGTAATTGAAGGTAAGTACCTATGTAGGTAGAGCGTGCGGTAATAATATTACCGCATGCCGTGCGGTAATGTGGTACTTACCGCAAGCAAAATCATGTAATATACCTTAGTAACCGCACGCTTGTAGATAAAAAGTTTTTTCCTACAGCCGTGCGGAAAAATCGATTTTCCGCACTGATATGCGTGCGGAGAATGAGTTTTCCCGCACGGTGCGGTAAAACTTTTTTTTTGACATATCAGTGCGGAAAAAAATTTACCGCACTGATATGTCAAAAAAAAAAAAAAAAAAACATTTTTTCGCCTGTAGGAAAAATATTGTACCTAACACTTGCGGAAAAATTAATTTTCCGCACTTATTAGGTAAATAGCTATTACAGTTTAGCTGTCAATTTTACAAGTCAGTAGAGCCAGAAGCTTGTACAAATCAATTTTTCTACTTCTGTGCGCAAATTAATCACTTTGCGCGCTCATTTGCGTGCGCAAAGTTCAACTTTGCGCACGGAAACTCTTTGCGCACTCATTTTGGTTACGCATAATTACCATAAGTTATACTTGATTTTTCAATGTTTTGATGGTTTCTGAATAAACTAATACTCAAAATGAAGGGTTTTAGTTGAAATTAGCGCTTAGTTAGCATGATGTTTCCTATTGAAGGTGTCCAAATTGGACCAGCCTGTACCGCTAGGAATTAGTAGAATTTTTGATATTTAAGAGACTCTCATGAAAATATTCTAGCTGGACCTATTCTAGAAATTCCAGAAGATGTTAAAAGATTTTTGGGGATTTAATTTAAAAGACATTCTGAGGAATTCCAATAGATTTTTAACGATTTTTGAAGATTTTGCTTTGATTGATTTTTCTAATATTTTAATAATTCAAAGTCTACTTTTTTAAGATACTCGTAGAAAAAATATTGTTCCTAACACTTGCGCAAGGAAAGTATCACTTTGCGCACTTGTTAGGAAAATAACTATTTCGTTGTTTATGTATTGACTTGATAAGTGACGTTTCACAAATGAGTGACAAATAAAAATATTTTCAAAGGTAATCGAACGGCGTGTACACCCTTCGGGCCAGAGGTTCCCGGGCTGTATCCTATGAACCTTGGGCCCTTATTCGATTACTCAATACTCAACATTCATTAAAATTTATTTTAGTCCCCTCAAGTTGATCAAGGTTACGACGTCAGTGATTACTACACCGTCGAACCAGATTATGGAACGAATGAAGATCTCTATGAATTAATTCAACTATCCCATGAAGCTGGTATCAAAGTTTTATTAGATTTCGTCCCAAATCATACCAGTGACCAACACGGGTGGTTCAATAAGTCTATCCATAGAGAAGATGGTTATGATGATTTTTATATTTGGGCTGATGGTGTTGTGGATAGCAATGGGGAAAGGCAACCACCAAACAACTGGGTAAACATCTTGAAAGAATCTTCGGATATCGCTTTTTTCCAATAAACTGTCTTTAGATATCGTTTTTTCTTTCAGTTAAGTCTTTTTGGTGGCAGTGCTTGGGAATGGAACCAAATAAGGCAACAATATTATTTTCATCAATTTACTGTTCAACAGCCGGAGTTAAATTACAGATCTCAGGGTATGGTCAACGCTCTAAAGGTGAGTTGAGGTTTCAGCAAATTTTAGAAACCACGTTTTTAAAAAAAAAAACAATAGAGAGTTATTGGGACTATTAAATACTGCCTCGCAGTATTTAGGATCTGCGTTATTTTATTAGTACATCAGCACTATTTTTCCAAGAAAATAACAGTTATTTGAAGACTGTAATAGGTGTTAGAGTATTACTTTATTTTGTATTCATAATTTTGACAGCTGATAGCTATAGTCAGAAATTTCAACCACAAAAAGTGTTTATTTTTGTTTGTAATTTTCTGCTGATAAAAACACTATTGTAAAAAACAAATTCTCTAAGTAAAATAACGTCATCGTCAAAAAGCGAAACGTCAAAGTCGTCAAAAATGTCAGAAATATTGAAATAAGGTAAGTTTACTGCATCGCACTAATCATACACAAATAAAGACAAGCAGTAACCTTATTAAGGGTATCCTTATTTTCAGACCCAAATGCGCATGCGTAGATGTCAAAATAAGGCTAATTTAAATACTGCTTGTCCTTATTGTACGTCCAATAGCTCTCTATTAACAATTAAAATGGAGTAACTTGGATCACATTATTGGGACGGAACAAAAAAATCTTGCCAAACACTCACAGCAAATTTCGCTAATCAAGCTTCGAGTATATTTGTTCTCGTTATCAAATACAAATAAAGGTAAGCAACTTCAAAACGTTTTATATTGAAATTGAAGTGGCTTGGTACTCTATTATGAAGGATTTTTCAACATCCAGTTCATAAGCATTTGGCAATGGGCTCTTTCACTAATTTTTGAAATTGGCATTATTGGATAAAGCAACTAAAAACAGAATTTTCTGTGTTTTTACTTCTGAAAAATTCATAGTCCTTCTTGAGGACACAGAAAAAAAAAGAATGCCTCCAAATAAAAACCCAGAATTTATTTCTATGACGTCGCAGCTTGAAATTTGACCGTGTTGCCACTAATTGTCAACATTGAAAATTTGTGATACATTAAATTCTTAAATGTTTGCAAAATATCATGAAAAGTAGTTAAAGTAATTAGTTATGAATTTATTTTATAACATTTTTTTCTGAAATTATGCCTTAACACAATTTAAAACAATTTTTTGTGTTTAGTTTTATTTATTTCTTTTACGTTGCACTACATTTAGTCACGACCGACAACAGCGCATTCGATCCTTTACGTACTTTTACAGAGGGTGCACAGCCGAGCCGGTCAGCTCCTTGCAACTACATGAACGAAATGAAAAATATTTATGTGACGTCATAAATCGGCGCGTTTCAAATCATTTTGAATTTCGCCAGTTTTAAATCAAATGCCTGTAAAAAACTTATTTAACCTTGTAGAACATTTTTTTTGTTGGTATACCTATATGCCTAAAATAGTCCCTCCTTTGGGATTTTATACTTAAATTACGTATTTAAATTTTAGTGAAAGAGCCCATTCTTGAAACATTTCTCGCACAATACACAACATTGCGAGAATTATTCGCCCATCCTAGACCCTCGTCGTCATAAGTATTGGTTCAGTTACCTTGAAAATATTACTATGGTTTATTTTTTTCCAAGATAGATTTTGGCATTGCCAACTTTGAAACATAAACAATGCCGCTAATGCTGCTTATTGGTCGCTATTGTAAACATGATGTCAACCTGCAGAAACACCTCATTTTGCGACCAATCAGGGTCAAGCGTTATTTGTTTATGTTTCAAAGTTTTCAATGTCAAAATCTATCTTGGGAAAAAATAAAGTGTAGACAGTTTCATTGGAGGAGTAAATACCTGGAATTTTTCTGTATCTATTTCATCTACTCCTGGTGAAACGGCATATGCGAGGAAGTTCACTTCCTCCTGAAAACTATCTCCTTCTGTAGATTCAATAATAATTGTAGGTTGGCAATTCGAATCACCAAGCAAGATTCTCAAGTGGGTTCTTGCAAAACTAACTGCATCAGTCCAAAGTGGCAGGTGCCTTGATGACTGCAGTTTGGCATTCCGTGCTTGTAAATGCAGAGAGCCCTATGTCAACAACTAACACTTTTACCTTCATTTTGACGCTAGGCCCAAGGTCACGGTGGTCTCGCCAAAAACATTTTTAACTCAACATCACAGAGTGCTCAGAAATATCTATTGTCGGGGCATATCCACCCCTGCTCTTGATGCCCTCGTGTCATTGTTCAAATTACTTCTTTAACATTCAGAGTGCGTTGGGCACGAGGAATTCACTTTTCAGATTTTCATTAAATGGTTTATATTCGCGTTCATTTGCACTAGCAACGGCCTCAAACCGCAAATTAAACCATTTATTTACTGAAATAATTTCTTATCATTCGCAACTCGAACTTAGTGCAATATTGAGGATTTGGAATAGGATGAAAATCAGAGAAATAGAAAGTTGAAGTAAGAAAATGAAGGAGAGTGGAAACTCAGTTCAAATCTGGCTCTATAGCAAATTGAACCATTCACTGGGATCAATTCTTATACTTCGCAACTTGAACTTGAAAATGAAAGAAGTAGAAAGTTAAAGTAATAAAATGATGAAGAGTGAAATTGAGAAAATTCAAACAGAACATGCAAATATATCCCTTATTAGTCCTTCTATCTCAACTTGAGATAATCTTACATAACCACCTATAGAAAAAAATTCAAGTTATTGATAAACAGATTAAAATCTAATAGATTAAAAATAACGAAAATTAACTCGAATCGGAATTCACAAAATAATTTGGATATTTAAAATTAGAAATAGAATAAAAATGTTGGTTTCATTAGGGAATCAATCACGAGGAGATAAAAAATTGAGATATATTTAAAAAAAGGTAACTTATCTTGTGCAGGAAATTTCGAAGATCCTGGCCTGAATCGTAAGGGTCTTCATTTGGAACATCCACGAAGTTTCCCTCACAATAATTTGTCAGAAACTCCAAAACGCATCGAACAGCATTGCGAATCTCCCCACAAATTTCTTAAAGTCGCCACTGATATTGGTCGACTGAAATGGCATCAGCCTAAACAAAACTAGCATCGTTGCCAAACAGTCTACTTTCAAAGAAAGGAGCCAATTTTAAGAGCTCAACCTCGTGGATTCACCCGATAAATGGAATGAAGGAACCATATAAGAGTCATCAACTGCGCCTGAGTTAAATGCTAGATTCTTTCCAACCTTAAATAGCCATTTGCTGTGGAAAAAATTACATTTCCATGCGGAAATTTGAACAAAAGTCTGAATTTATTTAGTCGAGGTTAATGTGATGACTTTTAAGGTGAAAAGAAGTCCCTAGCGGAACCAACAAAACCACTTCCGTGCCCAAATACTGATCGACAAAAGATGGAAAAAAGTGCATCACCTCAAGAGAAATTGATGACTGATTTGCATGATTGGAACGAGTATATTAAAATGCTTGTTACAATGTATTACCTATAGCATTACCACAGATCACCTAATACAGATGCGTGAGTACGTATACTTGCCGTCGAGGATATTCTGTGACGAAGCCGGGCTGCCAGCAACCCCACGCATAGATAAAGATCGCCCGCGTCAGGACAATTAACGTGGCCGAGTGCGTCAGCATGTTCCAGCCTGTGTGTTTACATATTTTTGCGGGTAGAAAATAGTTATTTTCCTAACAAGTGCGCAAAGTGTTACTTTTCCGCACGCAAACACAGTTATACGAACGACGCGAAGCGGAGTTCGGATAAGTGTTTGCGTGCGGAAAAGACACTTTGCGCACGTGTTAGGAACAAAATTTTTCCTACGAGCTTCATATCAGGTAGGTAACAACAAAAATTAAAAAAAAAAAAACGATAATTTGTGCAATTATTTACAATTAACTTGAAGCGAACCTATTCATCCATCAAAAAAATACATAACAGAAGAACAGAAAATTGAAATCCTCGTCAGAGCTGTTCATCTTAAAGCGTTTAAATTTGATGCGAAAGAAGTTTGTAGATTCTTGCATGTAAATGGGAACACAAATCTGACAATGTTTCAAAGTTAATTATATTCAGTGTTTGTATAAATGTTGGCTGATATAGAAATAGAGAACAAATTTGTCATCATGTGTCAAAGTCGACAGGTGCACTGATTGTTGCTTGACAATTATTCTTACTTTTCGGCACTCAGTGCGGATAAGGCCCGTATCCGCACTGAGTGCGGAAAAGTGAAACTTTGAGAACTGTAGTGCGTGCAGAAAAGTACTACTTTGCGCACGCTCGTAGGAAAAAATATTTTTTTGCTGTTTGTGAACCAATTAAAGAAATAATATTATATTATTGAGCTTCCGCATTTATATAATAAATATGTTCAAAATACATTGATGTGGCATTGGTGCGGCCAGCCTATGTCTATCAAATTAATCTTGAACCACGAATTTGCCGCTCTTCCGCATCTGTATGTAGATAATCTGTGGCATTACCATGTATTACTTATAGCATTACCAGTACATCGACCATTGAATTTTGTAACTCATGTACACGCCAAACTTCCTGAGCAGCTCCATAACACCAAGTCGGACAATTTTCGTAATATCTTCAACCTGGGCGATGGGACATTTTTGCGCTAGTTCTTCGTGGAGTTTTCCTTCTGACGTCCCTTAGGAAAGTGATACATCTAAATTCTGTTTTTTTTTTTTAAGATAAAAGTCAAAATGATATTATGTTGGCAATACAATGTAAAATTGTCAATGCTTTCAAATTTTTTAAGTAGAGAAGGCTTGTGTTGCCAACATAGTTTTTGACTTGGGGAATTATCTTTAAATAAAAAACAAACTTTACGTGTCGTTTTAATGCCAATCGACTGTTTTTTATATTATATTCACGATATCACATGTATTGAAAAAAAATCCCTATGTCCGATGTCCGATGCTGTGGCGTCATGTTGGTGGCCAAATAAATCAAAGATAAACATAGAATATTCATAGCTAATTATAGTTTATCTGGTCTATTTATGTGTTCTAAAATCATCTCGTATCAAGTTGTTAGCGTCAACTAGATAAGTTATTTTGAAATTCACTTCCGATTTCCTTTAGCTGTTGAACGCATCGCATACTAAATAGAATGTCGCTGTTTATTGAAAGGATTTTTTCATTCACTTAGATGATTTATTTTTTCACCTGTGTCCAAAGGAGCGTTGTATTTATCTGTTCCTTGTGCAACACTTACTTCTGTGTGACGCCTTTCGTTTCTAAACCAAGATATGAGGGTAAAAATATGAGCCAGATGGTTTAATACTATTGGTGTCTTCATTGGTCCACTACTCAAAAATACTCGGAGCAGATTCCGCTGTTAGCCTTAGTTTAGCTAAAATCGTTGAAAATTTATTATATCAATGTTAAACGTAGTTGAGGGTTCGTGTAGACTTACAATTTGCAGAGAAAGACTCTTTTGGATGTGTGGCGATAATCCATTTGTGAAAAAGAATGGCTTTTTACAGGAAACTTATGTACTGCATTTACAGAATTGCACAACATTTAGCCATCTCGCCTTCAAAGCAGAAACCACACGTCAAACTAAACTTTTGGTTAAAATTACACTCGGTTATTCACGCACCACGATTTAACGAGCTCCAAGTACAGTAGCGTCCTCTGCAACTCAACTGTCAATATTTCATGACATTGTTAAAAAGAATTTTAGGTATGCAAAAAGTCAAAAAAGTGTGCTCATTTATGGCACTTAAACCATTTTACCACGGCCGTTTCGACACAAAAGGACCCACTTGTTGTGTTGAAAAGCCCCTTATACAGTGCTGCATTTGGTAAGCGATGCTTTCATTCACCATCTTTGTAAAAGTAGTCAGTTGTTAACGATGCATGGAGCAGCAGGCATGATGGAATGAAATTCAGTTCATCACACATAAAAAAAATAAACGACACACATACTAGCTATTTATGCAACAAGTGTGTAAAGTGAACCTTTTTTCACGAATGTGAATTTTGACGTCTGAGCCAAATGCGAGTGCGACAATATCACATGAGTGAGAAAAGGTGCTTCACACGCATATAGTAACACACACTACCGATAAAATATGTGTACAAAAAAATAAATTTAGACAAATTTCACGCACTAGTCTGTGCAGTGAATTAGGTACTTCATACAACACACACTTCAGCCCTGCCGTTATTTGCCTCATAACGTTCATAACTGTTTTCGGCCGTTATTTATCCAGCGGCCGTTAAAATATAAATTACGGTCGTCGGCCTTTATTTTCAGACATAGGAGTATGTTTTTTTGTTAGATTGAAAGATATCTGCGTTATTTGCTATTTATCGGTCTTATAACGTTAATAAATTTGTTTCACGATGATTTTTACGTCATATCTGCCTTCCTTTTTTAACAATTAAAAGTTGACTGTAACCAATGACATTAACAAATTTTTTACCCTTTTTTGATTCCAAAATGGCGCATAAACTCTCCACTACGTCGTGGGGGACCCTTCAAGGAACCCCAGAAAAGTAGTTAAAATAATATGAAGTTAGTCCTCACATAGTTATTAGAAGAACACAGAGTGGTAAAATTGGCAGAATCTCAAATACTTCCACCTATATTGGATTATACCTCTATTCTAATAATGAACCTTGTGCCTGTCCTATTTTATTACCTTAACCGGTACTACCCAATTAGGAACTTTATTAGACTATCCAAGATGCTGTCAAACTTGAATTAAAATGGCCGCCAAGAGGCACACAAACCCTTTGTTTATGTGTCATCAAATTTGTCATCAAATAATGTATGAGCTTAAAATAGAGCTCATTGTGAATTATTTGCGTTCTGATACTTAAAACTGTTATTTTCATTAATGTTAGAAATAGTGTATTTAAATAGTGTATTTAAATAGTAGTAAATAGTTCTCAAAAACGCGAAAAACATGCCTACAACGTGTTGTAGCATTAAATGTGGGAGTTGTGGAGATCGGCACATTCTTAATTTTTTTCAAATTCCAAATGAAAAAAACAATACAAATCAAAACACAGCACTGTACGGTGGAGTTGAAATAAATAAATATTTTCACATCAAGAGAGATCCTGCGTGTTCAAGTGAAATGCAGGTGAAGCACCCTTGCTCAAACGATAAGGATTGCGTAATTGGGTAGAAACTGGCAAAAATTGGGACGCACACAATAGAAAATAGTATTGAATTACGATTATTAATGACATAACATAATGACGTTATGGTAAGTGTTTGTGTCAATGTTTGTGTGCCTCTTGTCGGTCATATTTTGCTTGTCAAAGTCACGTGTTTTGGATAGTCTAATAGGGAATATCGCAGTTTTAGAAAAAATCCTTAAGAGGGGCGTCAGATAAGAGCCAGCCCGCCATCTTTTGGGCTTTATGACATACATTAAATATTTTTTAATCACAGGTGTTCAAATTCTCTGTAAGTGATTGACTAATTTACAAGTAGATGGCGACATCTTCAATATCAATTCGTTTACACAGTAATTTACAGTGGACTAAATAATTTTATTCAGATACAAATGAAATAATAGTATTTCACATTATTAGCTAGGTTAAACAGTTTTTACTGGCGTTTGAAAGAAGTTATTATGCTTCCCGAACTCAGCCACTTTTTTTAGAGAAGCGCTGAACAAACGTTTGGTTTGAGTCTCTGCTGAAAATGACAGCAATTACCTCGTTGTTTGACAGATTTTGATTAATTTTGTGATACAAAAATTATAATTTTCGAAAATTCTGTTCTTTTCATATTTTCCAGCATTTTACTATCCGAAATTTTGGACATTTATTGTTGGTGTGCTACTCTACCGGGTGCCCACGAGATTACCTTCCGGTTGCCATTTTTTTATTTGTTCATTGATATCAACCCTTTTTGTGCATCCACGACAAGTTTTCCTGACTTCTGGTTTCACCGGAAATGACCGGAACTTTTGATTTTCAAATGGCACACCCTGTATATATTTTGTTTTTTGGATTCTACAGATCATTCTACGTCCTAGGGCCGATACTTTTGCTCTCGATTAACAAACTTGATACGTCGTCAAAGTTTTGCATGGGCCAAGGTCTATAAGTATGATGTGGCTAGAGCACAGCCAAATCCCTGATTATTTTTAACGGCTGTCAAACGAGAGCAAAAGTACCGGCACCTAATGTACCACTTTTAAATCGAGTTTTGTCCAAATTTCGTTTTCAAATTAAAGTAAAAAAAAAAAATTACCTACATAATAAAACGAAAATATTTGAACGAAAATTAAGAAAAATGTCGTAGTGTATTATATCGTTGGATTTGCTTCAAAATACTGCATTTATTGATGGTATGAAAGGGATAAGTAAAATACTAAAATAATGACGTTCACAGCCCTCTATCAAAAAAGTTTACAAAGATAAAATTGAGTTTGTATTTTTCTGAAATAAAGTAGAGTATAAAGAGTCATTTTAGGATGATCATGGCACTCTAGTTATGAAATTAAAATTTAATTTAAAAACAGAATTTGATTCAAAAGTGGTGCATTATGATGTAAAACGATCTATAGAATCCGAAAAACAAAAAATATACAGGGTGTGCCATTTAAAAATCAAAAGTTCCGGTCATTTCCGGTGAAACCGGTAGTCAGAAAAACTTGTCATTTATGCATAAAAATGGCGTTTGGTTAGAATATCAACCCTACCAAGTTTCGTTGATATCGATAGACAAATAAAAAAATGGCAGCCGGAAAGTGATCTCGTGGGCACCCGGTATATGTTTATCCCTTTTTCATTTAAATTCGTGACCAAAATTTGCATATTGTTGACAACAAAATGGTAATAATTTTACTATTTAGATCGCGTATTTTGCAACCAAAAATGCTTGAATTACTACTCCAATCTATTATTGTTATGAACATAGCTTCATTTCACTGAAAAGTGGTCTAAATTTGGAATTGAACAGAAAATAGTGAAGGTCTGTAAATGACATTTTATATAAACGCCCCTCTTAATAAAGAAGTTGACTTCTCAATTTTACTCCTTCATATCACTAAGATGGGTCCATTTTCCTGGGGTTCCCTGAAGAAAACTCTACGAGGTAGTGGAGAGCTTATGCGCCTTTTTGGAATCATCCTCTATCATACAGCAGAATTTTTTTTCTTTCTAGGATGTAATGCAATTTTGGCTCGATAAAGGAATCGACGGTTTTCGGGTTGATGCTGTACCCTACCTTGTTGAAGATGCTAAATTGACAAACGAGCCTGTCAAGGATATTGCCGGTTGTTCGTCGACCATATATACATGTTTAGATCATATTTATACAAAAGACCAACAAGGAAGTTTTGAGGCCGTATACGATTTCAGAGATTTTGTTGAAAATTATACTGATACAGTCGGAGGTGACCAAAGGTAAATTTCTTTTTATGAGACGTTTCATCAAGATATACATATAACGTGGATATATCGTCTCAATATCAATTTTCAATTTTCAGAATTATTGTAACTGAAGCCTACTCGCCTCGAAATATTACCCTTCTCTATTACGGCAACAGTGACGGAAGTCGTTTGGGGGCTCATTATACCTTCAATTTCGATTTCATACAGTACTTGAATTTCGACTCAAGTGCCTCTGACATTGCTAATATAATAAATTGGTGGCAAGAGAATTTGAATACTTCTTGGATACGAAATTGGGTGGTAAGTTTTGATTAGATGGAAATGTATGCATATATTTGAAAATACTTGGCATGTCTTGCACGTAGAGTATTAATAATTTTTAAAGAGCGTACAAACAGAATATAAATTGAAAATAGTAAATATTAATTGAAGATATCGATTTAGTAAAATGGTAACACGTTACACTATTGAGCTTTATATTTTAAAAGAGTGCAACAATTGTCTGCTAGTTATATTATGTCTATCCGATGCGTCTTTAAAATACTTATTCTTCTTTTCAGCTTAGTATAGTTAGTTAAAAATAATTTGTATTGTAAGTTTTTATTGTAACGTGCTTTTCGCTGGTATAAGTTTTCGGATTGTTAATAAAATCATTGTTTAAGACCCCTCGGTTTCTGACATGGCCCAGCCGACAAAACTTGTTTTTCGAGACTGATTATCGGTTCTTCGGTATTCGGAATAACCGGAAAAAACTGACCTTCCCCATGGTTCACTGTGAGGGGTCAGAGTTGCTTTTCAGATATCGAAACACCCAATTCATCGTGAAGCTGCTACCTAAGAGTAATCGGAGTTTGGACCCAAATTGTCCAATTCTCGCAAGGACCAAGAATTATTTGGACGGACCATATCGCCAAGCAAACCTCTGGGCCTTATAGCAATAAAATTTTTCTAATTCAGTCTGTAAGTCCAATCTTACTTATGTGTGACTTGGATGAAATAATTAAGAAATTGAATAATTTATCCACACCGCTTTCAATTGACTCATCTTCTGATTCAGAAGATTTGACTAGAAAAGCTAATATCAATTTCGATACAAGATTTCTAGTAACCCCATACCCAAAAATTAAATTGCAGTTCCATAGAATAGACATATCTGTAAAATGAAATGTGTCCCACCTTCAGCAAGAAAAATCTGTGTGTAGTGGCCTTTTGCAACTTGTATTTTTATATAATATTTTTGTCACAGTGTGTCACAAGAAAAATCTAATTAAATTTCGAAAAACGATTGAAATTCAAAACAAATTCCTAAATTCCTTGATTTTTTTGAAAATCAGTGTTTTAGCAGAAAGGTAGAAAATTCACTTTATACTGGATTACCCTGTACAGGGTCCGCCAACAAGGACTGAACTGGGCCTTAATTTTGACTTTCACTGTATTTTTGGAGAAAATGAAAATAGCATTTAGGCGGCAAATCGAACGAACATAAACAAATAAGCAAGAGCCCACTGAAGTGACAAGACAAGTAACATGCTTTTAGTGGCACATAATAAGGGGTATGCCACTTGCTAGATCACACGCCACTTCATAAGCCACGTTATTTCGGTGACCGCCCCCCGCCCTAGATATAACTTTTTTTCTAGAATTTGAAAATGTTACTTGGAAAACAATTGAACCAGAAACAAAAGAGTTACGACGTATGCTGTGGTATATCTTTGTTTTTCTAAATGGACTATCCGATTTTTTATTTCATATTTGAAAAGCGGGCAGGCCTTTACGTATCCTACGATATAAATTTTGTTGAGAATTTCAAACATCTGTCAAAACTGGTATTCCAACAATAAATTAACATGTTTTGATTGTTGATTTGAACCAATCAGATTGTAATTACGCGATAATTTGCACTAGTGCAAATTATCAGATAATTGCATACTAACTGGTGCGAAAACTGGTGTTTTGACATTTTTTGACAAAAAATTTAAATTTTTGATTTATGAAATTCTCTCATTAAATACAACTCGTGCAATGGAAATATATTTATAATTTTCGACAAATTTGCACTCATGCGTTTTTAACTGAAAAAGGCACTAGTGCACTTCGTGCACTCGTGCTCTTTTTCAAGTAAAAATGCATTCGGGCAAATTTCCCAAAAATTATCAATAATTTCCATTGCACTATATAGTTATATTACTATTGAATATACAGTATAATTATAATATAAATTCAATTTTATTTGAATTTATAAAAATACGTTTAAATTTACTGGTTCAAAAATATTCAATTTTAAAATCTATTATAAACCTACGGGCCAGGTGAACTATGTAACCTTGTAGCTCCAAAATGATGCCCCTCTCTCCATTATTTTTTCAGAGTACCTAACTGTATAAGTGCAATACTTTTCAATTAAAAATGCATTCGGGCAAATCTCCTAAAAATTATCAATAATTTCCATTGCACTAGTTATATTACTATTGATAATATTTAAATAGGTTGCTGAACAAGGTAATTTTACTGGAAACATTTATCTATAAATATAAAAGTATTGAAATGAACTGTGTGGAAAAATAACAGAAGGATTAAAATATAAACGTAATGACATGAACACTAAAACAGAACTGAAATCAGTGAAATGGTGACCGACGCGGCGTAAAACGGTAAATTCGGTCAAATTGAACCCTCCACGCCGCGTCGGTCATTTTGACAGAAAGTTCAAATCAATTTTTTTCCCATTTTTGATAACATAAAATGGTAAAACATGTTTCTTTTATTTTAAAAACATCTTTTGTATAAAAAAAACATCTTGGCGCAGGGTTACCAAATCCTTCAAAACACGTTGGCAGAGAACGTGTAAAAAAAACGCCTTGTCCATAATTTTTCACGGCAGTGACAGATATCAGGTAAACTATAGGTAAATATTCACCTTAATGCTGGTGAAAATTATGGATGAGGCTTTTTTTTAATATAAAAGAACATATTGCGGTAATATTTACAATACCTATTATCAACAAAATGTATATCGTAAGATACGTAAAAACATGGCTCGCTTTGAAATATGAGATAAAAAATCCGGTATCCCATTTGAAAAAACGAAGATATACGTCGTAAGTCTTTTGTTTTGTTCCTGGTTCAGTTCAATTGTTTGCCAAGTAACATTTTCAAATTCTATGAAAAAAGTTACATCTAACTGCTATTTTCGTTTTCTCCAAAAATACAGGGACACTCAAAATTAGGGCCCTGTTCAGTCCTTGTTGGCGGCCCCAATTTTTTTTATTGTTAGGTTGGTTGAAATTGAAATTAAACCCAATAAAAACTTGGTACCTACGTCATGAAGTCATTTCCGAAATTGACCTAGGTTTTTTTATTTTTATCATTATTCACCTAGGGAGAGAAATTCAATTTTTTGCTTGAAAAAAATATTGAATAATGACTTTTTCTCAGGTTGGTAGTAAAAAAAAAAATTCGGCAAAAGAAAAGTTTGTTGTTTAGCAATTTCGCGAGTGATTTTGACAAAAAGTTCTTGAGCAAAATTACCAGGAAGCAAAAAACTTGAATAAAACCAGTAGAATTATTTTGCCTACAGAACTTTTTCTTGAGTGGTATTCGGCTGGACGAGAAAGGATAATGAAATTAGGTCCGAATTAAGTGAAACTATGTTAGAACGAGGGATTCATACGGCACTTGTGTAGAACGACATGAAAAAGTTGAAGACTTTTTTTTAAATTCATTTATTGATAAATTTTTCTACATTAAATAGTACATTATATACCTAGGTAGAGAAGTTGTTCATTATATACCGAGCGCTTTTATAAACCGAGGCGCGTAGCGCCGAGGTTTATAATGCGTAAGGTATATAATGACTTTCTCTACCGTGGAATATATAGAATTTTTTTTACTACTGCTATAATAGAAAATAAAAAATAAGTTTGAAATCTGTGCTAAAATTATTTTTTATAGTTGGAAGTGCTGCCCTCTATCAACATCTATGGTAATTTCCTATGATACATACAGGAACCTGTTTTTTTGATCAAATTGACAGTTTGAAATTGAAATTAGATCAATAGAAACCTGTAACGTTATGACAATATCCTTGCGTCATGACGTCATTTTCATTATTGACCTAGGTTTTTTTTCTTTATTTTCATTATTAACCTAGGGAGAGAAATTCAATTTTTTCCGAGAAAAATAGATTGAATAATGACTACTTCTCAGGTTAGTAGTAAAAAAAATTATTTATCTGACAGTTGCCACTTATTTGCATCAATTTTGCTCAAATTAGCAAGGGCAACTATATCAGAACGCACTAGTAAACAAACACACTCGTATCCCGAGCATCAGCCACATCCAATTCGTAGACTAATAATTTAAACTCGTATTTGTCCCCACCATGAAATTTGAATTACTACGTACCTATAATGGTTAAAATCATCGCCGTATAGCGCGGGCTCCCAGGCTTTGAGCAATTTCATAATTCATTACTTTATGCCCATGCGGGCATAAAGTACACATTATGGCCCGCGCGGGCATAAAGACGCAAAAAACAGTTTTCAATTAACTTATTCTTTATTAACAAAATATAAATTTACGCTTATAGACATATTATTTTTGTCAAAAAATTATTATGTTTGCACACTGATGACAATTTGCGAAGTGACACTTTTTTCCTAGGTCTTTATTATTCACAACCAACTGGTATGACATAAAAGTTTGTATGCACCACGGGTACTAATAGATATATATACCCTCGGGCCAGAGGCCCTCGGCTTTGTAAGACTGTCGCCCTCAGGGCATAATCATCTACTTAGTACCCTTGATACATAAATAACTATTAAAATACAAGTTACAATGAAAATCGGACAATAACTCAACTATACTAAATAATGACGAATAATGACGCTTAAACTAACGAGACAGGATCTTTTATATTTTAAAATATGTTGATCTTGCTGTTTCTATGTCCCGGCAGGAGTTTTGTCAGTAGAAACCTGGCCTGGCCGTTATTATGAAATTTTGCTAGTGTAAAACACTGTAAATAGTAAAATAATTATATATGTCGGAGAAGCAGAAGCTGACGCGTCACCGTCCGACATAGTTATTAGTAACTGCCGACGTTAAATAAAAGCAAAAAAATGAAACAAATGAATTAGACGCGAAAAAGTTTATTACAATGATGCCGAGAGAAAACAAATTTGATAGCACGGCGGCTGATATTTAAATGACTAACTATAACGAACTAATTTAACTAATCAGCATAAATCAAAATTGAGAAAAGATTTTTAAAGAAAAATGAAATAGAGAATAGGAACTAGCGATCCGGGACCAGTTCTCTTTTCGACTGCTGACTCAAGTCCTCTCAAAAACTGACCAAACCATCCTGGTCCCGTTCCGCTCTCCTCAACCCCCCTTGTGAGAGTTGAGTGGTTCCCAAGCTTTCAGCAAATAAAACTTTATTGTCAAGCCAATATAGTTTTATGGGTTTTCCTTTGAGTCACCCCGAAAACATTTACTTAAACTACCTAACTTATTCTAAGAACTAAAAGGGTAAAGTAATAAAGTGTTTATCTTCTTAAACAAAATCTCAATACAAATACGGCTGTCGCCGACATATACAATGCTACAAGAGAAAAAAAATTGTCAGAAAAATTTTCGACTGGTATGAAAGTGTTTTGCTTGGCAATTTCGCGAATAACAAAAATTTCATGGGCGAAATTGAAATCAACAAACTTGAATAAAACCAGGACAATAATTTTGCCTATAGAACTTTTTTTTGAGTGGTATTCGGCTGAACTATTTCACGAGAAAGGATGATGAAATAAGGTCTGAATAAGGTGACAATTTGTCAGAGCGGCACCAGCAAGAAGCCGATAAATACCATACATACAAACGACGTTGCGACAGGAAAAAAAACTTCGCTTGGTCTTGTAATAAAAATATTTAACTTATTACCAAATCTATTAAAAAACTCAAATAATTCTGAGAAAAACACTTGAGAATAAAATTGAGAAATGGTTATGTCAAAATAGAATTGATATAAAGCTGTTAATTATTAAGCAAACTCGTAACAAAATCGTAGCCATTAGGTTTAAGGTTGACAAGTGCGACTAGTCTATTCGATGTTTTAATCACCAAAAATTGGACGTTTACTTCAATCAATGTTTAAGGTTATCTAAACGTTGATTAGTCAACGGTGAAAGTCATTTTTCAAATTAAACAATGATTAATCACTTAAACGTTGTTTAAACGGGTGCAATCATCCATTAGTATTGAAACATTAGCTTAGTAAAATGATGAATTGTCTCCAATTCCCACCCAGCCCTGCATACTGAGAAGTCACTGCAGGATGTATAGATGGGTATATACTTATTTGTATATTGTATATTTCACCTGGTTGATAAATAAATAAATATTATGTAGGCATGCTACTTCTTATTTTACAGATGGGTAATCACGATAACCATAGAGTAGCAACGAGACTGGGATACCCAGATGCTTACAATATGCTCGTAGATGGATTTTTACCCGGTGTATCTGTAACTTACCAAGGAGAAGAAATTGCTATGGAAAATGGAGAAGTAGATTGTACACAAGGCAAAGACCCCAAAGCAAACTGTTCTAATTTTGAATCTGTGAGTAGGGACTTTGAACGAACCCCGTTTCAGTGGGACTTTTCCAAAAATGCTGGTTTTAGCGATGCAAATGAAACTTGGTAATTTTATTCTTATTATTATATTTTTCGAATAATATTATTTTTGTCCAGGCTTCCAGTCAGTAGCAAATACCTCTCCAATAATCTAGCAGCTCAAAACGTTACGGGCTTAAAGAGCCACTACAACTTATACAAAGACTGTATCAAGTTTCACAAGAAATTATCCGAGGAAAGTGCGAAAGTTCAGTTTCAGGAACTAAATACTTTCCGTTCTCATACTCAAGGAGACGTCTTAATAACTTACAGAATGTTTAACACTAGTTGCGGACACGACGATCCTTACGTGCTATTATTTAACATGAACAGGGTTGAAGTAGCTAGCGTTGATCTGATAGTTAACGTAGTTAAGTCATATCAAGTGGAAGTTACTTGGCTACAGTCAAAGTATCAAGTCGGGTAAGTAGTTTTGAAAGCATCTTCTAGGAGATGCTGAAATTTGATACATACCGTACAGGGCCGTAACTAGCACAAGAAAAAAAATCTACATAATAAATGCGAATACTTTCTTCTTATTTTTTTTTTTAACATGAGATATATTAAAAGTAGGTTCCCAAGATTTTTTTTTTCTTGAAATAGGGAGAAAATCAGTTCCAAAGAAATTCACCTCTTTCCACAAGAAAGTATCATCCTGAAAGCTCAGTGTGATCAGAAGTATATGGAATAATTTAGGAATACCTACCTAATCGTAGTGTCGACATGAAAAATATTTATTCCTAGTTTCTAGTTGATTTGTATTCGCTATAATAAATAAATTTTTAAAATTTTAATTTTCAATTTAATAACAAAACAATAAAGTTACATACTTAATAATTAATGTCTTTTCCTAATTTGTTTAACCTTATTTTTCTGCAGGTGGAATAGATTTCACATATCTTCAGGATGTGTTTGTGAGTACGTCTCAGTGGTGAAAACCAACAGCCATTCCTTTTGTAGGTACCTACTACAAAATAATTCGGGTATCCCGTTTTAGGACAGTATCCCATTTTAGGTACAGTTCCCCTACAATTTTTTTCGAGCTAGATCAATTTTCTGGAATTGCGGAATTTTCTGATATTATACTTTTGAGATTTCTAGGATTATATTCCTAAACAAATAATACTCTTCGTGGATTTTTTTTTGAAAATCAAGAATATAATAATTTATAGACTAAAAGTTGTCGGCCGCGGAGGCACGACAGGCTGAAATTTTGCGAAGTGGTTGGGGGTCCATCTGCAACGATTTTGCTCAAAACCCCGGCAAAGGACACGTCAGATGACTCAAAAATTAAAAAAACTTTGCTCAAAAACTGATCATACTTCTAGCTGAAAATTTTGCACATCACCTTTTTAGGTCACCCCTTCGTATATAGATCGTCAGACGTCTAGGTCGCTGCCAAAGGATTGTGAGACGCCCTCAAAGATGTAATTATTATTATAATTATTTTTTTTCAATCTATTTTGCTCTCACCTCCGTTTGAGGTTTCAACAAATTGCAAGAGAGAGATTAGACACAAACTAAAATAGTCAGAGGGAAATACCACTGCGAAGTCACCCTACAAGATTCTCAAAGTTCCGGACTGTCCAAGACGTATACTTTTTTTAGAAAATTTATTTTTCTACGACTGCTCTAGAAAGCTATCAAAAAGGCACTACTATCATTATCTAGAAAATTCAATTATTCCGTAAAGCGTGCGAAAAGTTTTATTTTTTCGAATATAGTTATTAACGATATAAGGCCGATATAGCATATAATGGCCGGGCTGAAGTTTGTGATCCGAGGCGATAGCCGAGAATTATAATCAGCAAATCAGCCAAGGTTGTTATTTGCAGATATTCTTAAAAAATAGGAAATAGTTATTTACCTAACAAGTGCGGAAAAGATACTTTACGCTCGTGTGAGGTACAACATTTTTCCTACGAGTGTGCGGTAATTGACATATCTATTGTTTTTTTTTTTTTGGCTCTACTGATGAAAGAAATTATCATGGATGTGATTTTTTAATAAGGTTTAATAACGCAATAATTTTAACAACAGAACATTAACAATTATTTTATTATAAGTAAAATTAATTATTTATGGTATAAAACTTATTAAAGAGGTGGTCGATATTGGTCAGTACAAAAACCTAATTAGCTTCCTTGAGGAGAAAAAACGGTAGAGAAATTTCGAAAAGATCTAAAATTTTTGAGAAGCATGACATTTTGGAGTGTTTTACCAGGATATACATACTTCCAGACTAGATAGAGAAAAATCAACTTATAGATATGATGGGATGGATTTCCGTGAAACGTCGCTCATAAGAAACCATATCGCGATATCTTCAATGGTAGGTAGGTACCTACCATTGATACAGGACGATTTTAAATTTTTCCCTATCCTGAAAAATAGCTATACATTTTTTATTCATCAATGCTTTTCATTTGTGTAAAAAAAATTTGAGCGTAATCCATTCACGCACTCAGTTTTTTTCTATTTCGCACCGATTTCGAAATATTGACCAAAGTCCGATTTTTTTTAATGGGACACCCACACCCACAGTTTCAAAAGTTTGGGAACGGTCAAATATTTCCAGAGCGGCTTGAAATAGAATTACGATATTTTCTGCACATGGGTAATTGATGATGCCCGATTCAATGAGGACATCGACAGTGTTGCCGAGTTTAATGGTTTTCAGATAATGTAGGTAATTTCGTTTTTTTAAATAGTGATACCACTTTATTTTAATTGCAATAAATTCGACGCTCCATTGTTAGTGAAACCTCCAGATATCATATCCCTATTCTAGGCGGTTCCTGGAACACGGAAATACAACCTTTTTGTTCTAATGTCTGGCGATGGTGAAATAATTTCCAAAACAGCTTAAAATTATAATTACGAAGTTGAATGGGGCATCAATAATTAATCCTCTGCAGCAAATTTCGTAATTCAATTTTAAGCAGCTCTGAAAATATTTGACCGTTCGCAGACTTTTGAAACATACTGTACATTAATAGCTCATTGGATAGCTCTGCTTTTGCTGATTTCAATGATATAACGTACGATAGGTTTATTTCTAATAGTTTTCGAGAAAAAAAAAATCTGTTTTCGTCATAAGGAACTATGTGTTAGAAAAAGACTTTATATCTGTAAGGAAAATGAGGAAAGTCTCTCTGTCTTTATTCCGAATTCTGAAACACTAAAATGGTCGCAGCGCCTGAACTAAAAAAGCTTGCAAAAAATTCATGAAGTAAAGTTGATCAGAATGTAATGGACCTTTCTCATGCAATGAACAACAAGGATAGTTTATTAAGATTTCTGCAATAAAGAAAGAGACACGTTTAATGACGCGCGATACCTGTGTGGAATGACTTTGATTGGTTCCTCTTGTCAAATTTTGCGGTTATGTTTCTGTTTTTATTTATTTTTAAACGTAAATATGACAGATATGTGGAGGAAAAGTTTTGGAAAAGCTTGCGAAAAACGAATTTGCAAGTGCTGACAAACCTTTAATAGTACAATTATTATTGTATTTGATATAGAAATCGTTATTTTACGAACCCTCAAATCTCTGTTCCAACTTAAATCGTCTCCAGTCAGGTTCAGAGCACCTAACCATTATTTTTTTACAATTTGATTGCTTGGGAACTTGTGAAAAAAAAGGTTTGACTTCTTTTTCGCCTTACTCGAACAAGATCTCACACAACACATTTGAAACATTGTATAATAAACAGTTTTTAGATTGTTTGTAATAATTTTCAGCAATATTGATTGAATATTGAGGTTAGCTTAAAAAACGTCAGGGTCAGACCGCGTTCATTAATTGAAAAATTTATCATCTGTCACCCACAAGCTGCGCACGCAGCACAGGTAAAATGAGAAAGGTCCATTATCCACAACTTTTATCAAGATCATTTTGTCGAAAAAAAAATAAATAAATAAGAAAAATACCAATAAGGCCAAATGCACAAGGCTTGGCTCAATACTCGGGACACAATCTTCAACCAGCTCTGAAAAATTCAGCCTACCCACGTGAAATTTTCTAAAAAACCCATATAGGTATTCACTGGACTGAACATCTATACAAACACCAACATCGAATATATTTTATTCTATCGCGAATGGTAAACTATCATTTAATCGACTCAAAACTCGTTGTTAAAGTAACACTTTATTTGAAGTAGTGAAATCGAACAATTTTTACCCACTCAGACGTCAATTTTACCCACTTGTTCAAATCTTTTATAATAATGTGCGTTTTTATTCTCATCGGTGGATTCACCGATGAGTTAGCTATCTTTGTTTAGTGAATGGAAAATGACAATGACCGACATAGAATGGTGGATCCATCGGTAAAATTTGATGAGAATAAAAACGCAGGGATAATTATAGTGTTTTTGACAGAAATCTGGTTATGTTGCATGATTGACAACACCAGAAATGTGTCAGTTTGTTAGGTACTTTGTCAACTTGTCATAATCTATGTAAAATTTTAGCATATTTCAGTTCACGATTTTAGTAATTGTGATAAATAATAGGTTGCTCAAGAATAAAATAGAATATTACACACGATGGTAAAAAAGCTTTACCTGTTCGTGGAATTGATCCACTCGCTCCTTCGTCGCTCGTGAATCAACATTTTCCACTCACAGGTAAAGCATCTTTTTACCGTCTTGTATAATAAATAACTATTGTATGTTTTTTTTTGTTTTTTTTGTTATGTGATATGAAGTTCGTAGGAAAAATATTGTTCCCAACTCGTGCGAAAAGTCTCTCTCCCGAACTTGAGACCTATCCGTACTCCGCTTCGCGTCGTTCGTCTAACTACTTTGCGCACTTGTTAGGAAAATAACTATTTCATTACCTCCGTCTGACGTTTCTACATATTTTCGTACAGATGATTTCAAGTAGGTACAGGGTGAGTCACTATATTTTGACACCCTCCTGCAGCCATCATTACAGTCGAATCCATACGACCCTGCTTCTGATGTCCCTAAACCTATGACGTAACGCATTTATTCGAAAACATATTTTTTTTTACTTTTTAGTAATTTCCTACTAAAATTATCTTCTCTGTCTCTCTCTAACACATTAATTTCTTAGGGAAAGTGCCAATAATATAAATTTTTCGAATAAGTGCAATACGTTATTGGTTTTGGGATATCAGATGCTCATAAAATGTAAAATAGAAAATAAAGGTCCGTATTCCCCGCTCTAGGGGAATCTTGACCTTGACGTGGTGAGAGGGCTGAGTAACCTTTATCCAAGGAGCGATGTCGGCGGTAGCCTAGCTACCGGCAGGGCCACCCATACCGATAAGGTCTCGAAGAGATGAAGGTGAAACGAAGAAGATTCCCACGCAGCGTCTGACCCAGAGTGGGCGGCTGCAAACAGCGTCTGTTCTCCAGGTTAGGAGCGGCTGATACAAACACTCACCAAGACGCCCGGCGAGCGTGGTGTTTTAATTGCCAAAACCTTTCAACAACAAATATGTCGACTTCAAAACGAAAAAAAGTACCCCAGGTGGGTAGAGGTACCTCACAATCCCAAACCGATACCTCGGTCAGCCTCATGGATTCTGGGGGAGGCACAAGTACGACATTCATAAAGAAAACACAAAATAAAAATCGACCTAGCAAAACTACAACAAATTGCTTATTAAACATTGCAACGTACAACACAAGATCAATCGGAACTAAGGAACGTCTGGTTGAATTAGAGTACGAATTGGAGAAAATAAACTGGGACATTGTAGGACTAGCCGAAACAAGGAGAAAAGGCGAACAATACCTCCATCTGGATTCCGGGCATACTATGCTCTACAGGGGGAAGGATGATGATAACAATGGAGGAGT